AAAGTCCTTTACTGAAAAAAAAATAGAATTGTCCCATGATGTAAGTCCATTGTCAATTATTTCATCCGGCAATGTAGATCCACATCAGTCGTAACCAACAATTTTTGTCAGTCCTTGAAGAGAAAAAAACATTCTGGCATTTCTGCTGCTCACCATGAAGGAGGAAGGAGATCCTGATTCCCCTATATAGATCTTTGGTGAGACCTCATTTAAAATACTATGTCCAGTTCTGGAGACTTCACTTACAAAAACGTATTGATAGATATAAGATAAAACGAGTCCAGAGATGGTGAAAAGGCCTGAGAGATAAAACATATCAAGAGCAACTTAATTTGTACAGTCTGGAGGAAAGAAGGGAAAGGGGAGACATGATTGAAACCTTTGAATACATCAAGGGGGTGAATTAGGTTCAGGAGGGCAGTATTTTCAATATGAAACCAAAATCAAGAGCACGGGGACATGACTTCCAATTAGCAGAAGGAAAGTAAAAAAACTAATCTTAGAAAGTATTATTCTGAGAGAGTAGTTGATGTTTGGAATAGACTTCCAGAAGAGGTAGTGAGTCAGTCAACAGCAAATGGCTGCTTCAAACATGCTTGGGACATGATAAAATTAAAAAAAAAAAAAAAAAAAAGAAAAACTTTGATGGACCACTCAGTCTTTTTTCTACCGTCACTTTTCTATGTTTCTATGAATGACGGCTCCTGAACCCTTAGCTGAATGAAAACAAAGGGTATGACCAAATATGGAGCAGTCATCGAGAGTGTATTTTTTTTTCAGTTGAAAGTCAGGATCTTTGCTCTTTGTTTTGATTGACAGGGATCTATATTACTGGATGACATGATTAATGATGGATTTGGCATCTTTTTAGGGCTTTTGTTTAATAAAGGACTAGGAATATGGGGAAGAGGCCCTTGACCTTATTAACATAAGGACTATGTGCTTTGCCAAGGGGTCCATCTTGGCAAAGTACTCTCCTCATGTTTTGGATGAATGTGGCTTAGTATGGTTTTAAGGCCACATGTTTGCTGCCCCGGTTTTCCTGGCCAACCAGTCTGAATATTTGGATATGTGTCAAGCATGGATATTGAGGGGACTTTATGATCCTTTCCTTGATTTATGCATGGGGTTCCCCTTAAAAATCAATACTAGACCACTATCAAAGATAAAGGTATGGCATTGATTCCCATCAATATCCACACCCAACACCAAATTTGCGGTTGTAAACAGCAGACTAATAATGCCTAATAATGTTGAATTTGTCAGAAAGATTTTCACCTGTCATATTAGATATTTCCCCATCTGAACACTGGATGCAATCAAAGCAGCAATGGTGAATTCCTGGTTTTATGACTCTCCTATAACCTTCAGGGCATTCTTCAGAACACCTAGAAACAGGAACCTTAAAAGAATATAAACATAAAGAAAAAATTATTATATATATTATATAGAACAGCGTTTTTCAACCACTGTGCCGCGGCACACTAGTGTGCCGTGAGATATTGTCTGGTGTGCCGTGGGAAAAATTGCAATTTCATCCGTAACATGTGGCCTCGGCTCACAAATAGACCAATCATTAGAACAGCAATGGGCAAACTACGGCCCGCGGGCCGTATACGGCCCGGCGGACCTTTTAATCCGGCCCGCGGAGCGTGATACTGTCAGGATGATCTGTCCCCCTCGACGTATCTGCGCATGTGCCGGAGATCGCTGATCGGCTGCTAATGCCTGAAACTGGCACATGCGCAGATACGTCGAGGGGGACAGATCCTCATAGGAGACAGATTTTCATGCTACACCGGAACGGCGAGAGGAACTATATGGGGGATGAATTACTATGGGGGATGAATTACTATATGGGGGATTAATTACTATGGGGGATGAATTACTATGGGGGATGAATTACTATATGGGGGATAAATTACTATATGGGGGATTAATTACTATGCTTACTATGGGGGAATATTACTATACTTACTATGGATGACACATACACATCATTCATCTACTCTTGGTCCGGCCCCCGGGTCCAATATATGAACCCATTGCGGCCCTCAAGTCAAAAAGTTTTTCAATAAATTTTTTTAACATTTTCTAATGGTGGTGTGCCTCGTGATTTTTTTTCATGAAAAAAAGTGTGCCTTTGCACAAAAAAGGTTGAAAAACACTGATATAGAACATTGACTATTTTTGTGTTCAGTTATTTTTGAGAATGCTACTAATAAGTATTTACCCTGGTCTACTGTATGATTTGCAATACAACTAACAACTTAATAGCATACAGTAGATCATACTGGAAATGTAATCAAAGCTGGCAGTCAAAACTCTAAAGGCAAATTAGATGCAGACAATGGCTGGAGATCCTTGATTCATATTGCAAGTGTGCAACCCCAACGCACACGTTCCTGTGTTAAAAATGGCGGTGTGTATAAGTGTTTGCTGCAGCAACCGTCGACTGGAACTGAACAGAATCAGCAAGGGAGAATGTCACCAGCACACCGAGGATCACCAATATGGGTCCAAACGTTTTAATGAACGATCACATAGTAAAAGAAAGTCAATGTTTTGGAGTCTCGCAGAACCCCTTCATCAGGTATGTGTCACATGCCTGGCGAAGGGGTCCTGCGAGACTCCGAAACGTTGCCTTGCTGTAACTATGTGATCATTTATTAAAACTTTTGGATCCATATAGGTGATCCTCGGTGTGCTGGTGACATTCTCCCCTCCTTGATTCATAAAAACACAGTCTCAGGAGACCTCTAATTCCCTAGTGCTCAACACAGGGACCACTGGGTTCATGAGGGCTGCTAGCCCTTGAATAGACCTATGAAACTTTGCAATGCTATTTCAGTGTTCTATTAAGCCATTATGGGTACTTCATTCTTCTTTACCCACTTGAGCTCCTGAGGATTTACCCCCCTTAATGACCAGGCCTTTTTTTGCTGTTTGGCGCTGCACTAATTCAAATGATAATTGCGCGGCGGCCATGCAATGCTGTACCCAAACAAAATTTATGTCCTTTTTTTCACACAAATAGAGCTTCTCTGTCTGGAATGGAATGTGTCCAGGCAGAGAAGAATGACATCATATCCTGTCCTGTGTAAATGTCAACACAGTACAGGATAGGACAGGGACCGATCATCTGATTTCAGCCAGACATCACTGGCTGAAATCGAATGATTGATCCCTCCGGGATCAAATGGTGTCACCCGCGGGTCGGCGGGAGCGCGCGCGCACACACGCCCCCTGCTGGCGAAAACGTCGGGAGCGCGGAGCCCGTTTTAAAACGTGCTTTTGCGCCCCAGTGCCGCCCTGCATATATGCAGTGGCAGGGCGGCAAGTGGTTAAACCCAAAACCATTGCCAAATGGGATCAGGAATTAGGCCTGTAATTTACTGACTCACAGAGGTAAAACTCTAACCAATATACCTTTAAAGCATCCCATGCACCTAACCAAAGAGAACTCCTTAGGAAAATTACTCATAAGTTGTATTTTACCCCAATCACCAATCCCTACAATGCTGGAGACAATGAAGCCTTATAGGTTCACTCTCTCATATTTTGTCATCATGCATATCACTAAGATCTTACCAGAATAAAATTTCAGCATTTTTATCCAAATCTGTGGGACATAGAGCAGATCACATGGTTGAACTAACATCATAACATAGCCAGACTAAACTAAATGTTACAAACATTTTGGAAATGCACTGCCCACCCTCCTTTTCAGAGATAATGAGAGATCTTAAAAATAATTGTTTAATGAAAAAGATGTTAGCACTTGAGACTGATTGCACTGTATGGTTCAAAATGTCCGATTCTATGCTATTAAAAAAATGAATTCACTTCTAATTAGAAGACTGGTATTATTAAATGGTAATGTTAAGATTGTATTTCTATATAAACCACTACAAATTGCATTTTCTTTTTTCTTACTTCTGTACTATCTTGGCAGGGGCGGACTGACAACTCATGGGGCCCCTGGGCAATAGGGGATCATGGGGCCCCTGTGTCCTTGCCCAAACTAAAAAAAGCCTATGAAAAAGTTACCAGGGGCATCTCATGGGGCCCCCTACTGACCCCGGGCCCTCGGGCAGTGCCCGAGTTTCCAAATGGTCAGTCCGCCCCTGTATCTTGGAAAACATATTAACCGATTCCTGCCCAGCCACTGTACATAACATGCCAGGCGGGACAATTGTCGATGTCCTGAGGGACCTGCTTGCCCCTATTACTGCTATGCTTGTTTCACCTCTGCCCCTTATTGTAGTATTTTTTGGGATGTCAATGGAATTCTTAACTTTTACTAAAACTATGATGATAGGAGAGCAAATATGTGGCACTTTTAATGCACACTAATTACGACATAGGTGGCTGCTGCATATAAAGGGCCACTCCAAGAATTGCCCTTCACCACACCTCATGGGTATCTCCTCACCTTATATCATGGACCCCACTGCAAAAGGAGGGTCAATTGCGCTTTTATATTAGAGACAACGATCTTCTTCAGCCTTCACCTGGTCACAGTGGTGGCTGTTCACGCTGAAGAAAGTCATATTGTTGTTCTGACAAGATTGACTGAAGATTGCACAAAGATTGGTTGGGACTCTCACATTGAACTATATGTTTTGTTTTGTTTTTTCATGCTTTAACCCCCCTAGCGGTCTGATTATGCTCAAAGCAGTGCATTTTTTTGCATGGAAATATGTATTTTTTTATTGTAGGCCTGTAATTTTTAGGAATAACTCACTGAAATCTGTCCGAACAAGAGTCTAGTAAACATCCCGGGTAGGATAAAACTTGAAACACGAAATCATAAATTATAATTTAATAAATAAACATAAAAAATAATAATATAATAATAATAAATTTAATTCAATAATATGATCAAACCAAAACACTGAAATGTGAAATCGAGCGCCAATTTCGCACATCGCTGAGCAAAGTCGCAGAATCGTTTTCAGTGTCTGATGATGAATTTCCCCCACGAATCATTATCACTCAATTCTGCAAGTGGTTCTAATTTACTATCGCTGTTCTCTAGCCGGTCTAAAACTGATTTTGACCTAAAGGGTCGCTTTTTGGACGCCATGGACGTTTCTCAGTTTCCAGGCAGAAAGAACAGTAAAAATGCAGGCAGGGCACAGGACAAAGCACTCGGGACAAAATGTATGTGAAATGGTTTGATACAGTAATGTTATACTATGTGATTTTAGTGAATGTCCCTTTTTGTCATTTTCAAATTTCCCGACAGTTCCGTCTCCGTACGTCCCGACGCTCGCAGGGGATGGAACCCAGATGACAGATGTTGGCATCTGCCGGATTACATTGCGGGGGACACTGCAGGGGGGACATCACGAGAGCGCAGGACAAGGTAAGCGCTGCAGGGATCCCGGAGCAGCACCGCATGGTAAGCCCGAGTGTAGCTCGGGTTTACCGCTTGTGGTACTGAAACTTTATCCCGAGCTACACTCGGGAATACCGCCAGGGAGGCTACGAGCTATACTGTGTGTGTTTGTGTGTAAGTTTTTTTTTTTCTGCACATTCACAAAAGGATACTGAATACTTGAGGGATCTGAGATTTTATTTGTTATGTCCTTTTCTGGATCCTCTTCCCTGCCATTTAGGACCCTCAAGCAAATACAAAATACAACTTAATATGCTATCTCTATGTGACTCATGGAAGACCTTGTTTCCAGACACAAAAGACTACACATTTTTCTCTCCAGTTCACTGTAAATACTCCCATATTGACTATTTCTTTCATTCACAACCCAATCTAAAACCTTCATGTGGTTAGCATTGAACTCATGTATGTCTCAGACCACCATCCGATTACTCTCACGCTACGATTCCCTGATTCAGACCCTAAATTTAAGTCCTGGCGATTCAACCTTGCATTGCTCAACAGTCTCACTCATCGTGTTAGACTTCAATCTACTTTAAGAGTTCCACAACTCCCTGGTGGATATATCCACATTCACCCAGTGGTTGGTGCACAAATGAGTCTTTCATGGGGAATGTATCTCTTTGGCGATACAGATCAAAAGACAGTGACATGCCTTCTGTTGAAGGGTTGACTCTTCAGAACTAGCACAGGGGAGCAAGGCAGATCAGGTGTATACTTCCCTATTACCAGCCAGAAGGACCCTACTAGATGAACTAGGTAAACAAACCAGTCGTAAATTTGTGCCAACCACCAAACCATTTTATGAACAAGCCAATAAAAAGGAAAGCAGCTGGCCAGAATGCTCTCTGTGCGCAGGATCACGTATATAAACGTGAATCGCTCTCCCGCTCTTTTCATGGGCCGGGGGGGGCGCATGCGCGCCCCTGCCGACCCTCGGGTGTCACGATTCAAACCCCGAGGGATCAATCATTCAATTTAGGCCAGTGATGTCCAGCCTAAGTTGGATGATCAGTCCCTGTCCTATCCTGTCCTGTGTTGACAGTTACACAGGACAGGATATGATGTCAATCTTCTCTGCCGGGGGCACATTCCATCCCAGAGAGAGAAGAAGACATACAAAACGTGAGTAAAACAGCACATACTTTAAGTTAGAATACCCTAGGTCACATTAACTCTCTGATCGCCCCTCCAGTTAACCCCTTCACTGCCCTGTCATCAGTGTTATTATTTACAGTGTACAGATTTTTTACTGATCACTGTATTAGTGTCGCTGGCGACTTCCGATAGCATTAGCGCCCCTCCCAGATAGCGTCAGATTGCCCACTACTATGCTAGTAATCACATTTAACCCCTTGATTGCCCATCGCCCCCCCCCCCCATTTAACCCTTTCACTGCCCTGTCACCAATGTCAATTAGTACAGTGTACAGGTTTTTTTGCTGATCACTGTATTAGTGTCACCGTTGACTTCAGATAGCGTTAGCGTCAGTTAGCGCCCCTCCCAGATAGCGTCAGATTGCCCGCTAGTACACCAATAATCACATTTAACTCCTTGACTGCCAGGAACATGCTCACTTACACATTAAACCTCCATTGCTAGTATACTGTCTGAACAGATCAATATCTTTGATCACATCAGCACTATACCAGCGTTCACATTAGTATAGTGTCGCCACCTGCCAGCACCTGCGTTTAGCCCCTACATTTACCCCCCTTTCTCCCTCAGCAAGTAGACCACTGTCACTTGGTACATTGCACATAAAACTGCAGTGTTCACAGAATCAGGCCTGATCTCTGTTAGCACTTGTCAGTAAATTTTTGTGTAGCGGTTCAGTTCAAGCAGTCTTTGACAGCCAGGTGCTTTATTTCCGTGAGTCGCACTAGGTATCTATAAATTTAGTGGCCAAAATGTCCAAACAAAGGTACGCTAGTGAAGAGGCCTACAGGATTCAGGTGAGAGCAAAGGGGAAGACTCACTGACAGAATCAACCTCAGAATGCAAACCTGTAGACAGTAGCAGCACCCTGACAGGTAGGTCAGATGACAGAGAAGAGGTCCCTGCTAAGATCAGGGATACCCGACCCCATTTCCAGATTGCTGAGATGTTACAAACGCATGATGCAGACTCTCATATGCAGCAGAGTACCAGTACTAGTGACACTCTACCGTTTGGTGAACTGGTGAGCACCAGCGGCCTAGTACATCCTGGTCTTTTTCATACCAGCATTGCAGTATGACTTGGTGACGTGACTAGTTCCATGAGTGCAGTACAAGCTGGTGCGGTGGCGAGCACAAGTAGTGTCCTGCAGCCACCAATAATTGGCACACAGGCCCATAGAGCTCATAGTGTCCTTTCGGAGGTGCTTGCAAATCCTGATTGGCAGCCCACAAATTCTGCAGCACTCGTACTTATAAGGTTTAGAATTTACACCTCAATTATGGTGAGTTGGAGAAAATGCTTTTTGATCGGTGGATACACCCCTAAATCATGGCACCTTTTCTTTCTGTATAAGCACCCGTACTTACCCCATTCATTGCCCAACCCGGAATTCAGGTGGAAACAGCAAATTTAAATACTCCCCTTGATTTTTTGGAGCTGTTTTTCCACAGAAGATCTGTATGCATTGATTGTGGATGAAAGCAATTTATATTTATTGCCGCCAACCCAAATTCAAACCTTGCCAGACCATTCGCATGGAAACCCATTACGGTTTCCGAATTTAAAGTTTTCTTGGGCCTAACCCTCAACATGGACATTACTAAAAAAAAGTCAATTGCGGTTGTATTGGTCCTCAGACCCGATTCATCATATGCCGTGTTCTCTGCTGCCATGGCCAGGCATAGATATGAGAGTATAATGTGTTTTATGCATTTCAGTGACAATACATTCAGTCGTCCTCTGGGTGACCCTGAATTTGACCGGCTCCACAAAATTCTGCCCCTCTCAAATCATCTTACCAGAAATTTGCAGATGTCTATACTACCAAGCAAAACATCTGCATTGATGAGTCCCTCATTATTTTTTCTGGCCGCCTTGCATTCAAACAATTTCTCCCCAGCAAGCGTGCCAGATATGGGGTCAAGATGTAGAAGACCTGTGAGAGGGCAACAGGCTACACATACGTTTTCGATTTAATAGGGAAAATATAGTCAAGTAGAGCCCCCGGATGCCCAGACTACATGGGGAGCAATGGCAAGATAGTTTGGGATTTGGTGTCACCCATTTTCCATATAGGGTACCACTTATACATGGACAATTTTTATTCAAGCATGCCACTATTTAGACCAGTGGTTCTTAACCTTGTTGGAGGTACTGAACCCCACCAGTTTCATATGCGCATTCACCGAACCCTTCTTAATTGGAAAAATAAAATATGATTTTTAAAATTCAAAACATAGGTATATGTTTATACATAGGTGCACAAAATGAACAAAACCGTTAAGAACAAAGAACAAAACCTTTAAAACATGATTTTCACACAAAAAACAAAAACATAATAATGAATATTTACTGCACGAATCATATGAGTCGGGTGTGGGTCTTCACCTCTGCCGAACCCGCGAGACTGACTCACTGAACCCCTGGGGTTCGATCGAACCCAGGTTAAGAACCACTGATTTAGACATTTGTACAATTGTGGAATTGGCGCATGTGGCACTGTGCAACCTAATCGCCGGGGCTTCCCCCAACAGCTTGTAAATACCCATCTTAGAAAGGGGGGAAAAACCTGCTTGAGAAATGAGGAATTGCTCGCAGTGAAGTGGAAGGACAAACGGGATATTTTCATCCTGTCTTCCATTCATGCAGATATGGCCATCGAAATGACCACGGCAGTTGGTGTTGTTGAGAAGCCCCTCTGTGTCTATGACTATAATCTTAACATGTGAGGGGTGGACTTCAACGACTAGATGATGAAGCCATACTTAGTTTCTCGAAAAGCCAGACACTGGTTCAAAAAACTGTCCATTTATTTATTTCAATTGGCTCTATATAATGCTTTTGTGCTTTACAAAGCAACTGGACATACTGGATCCTTCCTAAAATTCCAAGAAGAGATCATCACAGCCCTTTTGTATCTAGAAGGTGCTGTGGTCCAAACCCCCAACCCTGATGCAGTTAGCCGGCTGCATGAGAGGCATTTTCTCGATGCCATCTCCCTCCACAAGTAGTAGTGTCACTATGGTGACATTGTACTGCTAGGGTGACAGTAAGTTAGAAAAAATATAATAAATAATAATATCAAAAAACAAATTTTAAAACAATTATAATTTTTGGTTATAAACTAATTTGGGTTATTGTTTTACTAAAAAGATAACTGAATAAATGTTGGCCAAGATTTATGAAGAAAGATTATTTATTTGCAAAATTTTATAAAAAAACACCTTTTTTCTACATTTTTGGACTTTTTCGTTAATATAGCAAAAAAAAATAAAAATCCCAGTGGTGAATAAATACCAACAAAATAAAGTTTTATCTGTCAAATTCATATGGGTACAGTGCTGCATGACCGTCATTCAAAGTGCGACAGCGTTGAAAGCTGAAAATTGGCCTGGACAGGAAGGGGGTGAAAGTGTCCGGACATGAAGTGGTTAAAAACCAAAAATTGTTTTTGTTGTTGTTGTCGTTGGTGTTACTGTTCTACTGTTACACTTTTACTGTTTTATTGTTACTGTTTTATTGTTAACCATTGCTGTTTTCTTTGCATTAATATCATTCAACTGCAGTGCTGACTTGTTTATTCTGACAGCAACAAGGTCTTGCTCTCAGAATATACATAAGTAGGTGTGTGGTTTTTTTTTTAAAATTGCGTTTGAAAAATCGCTGCATGAGTACTACGTGACATAACAAATTGCAGCACCCACCAGTTTATTCACTAGGGTGTCTGCTTTAAAAAATATATAATGTTTGGGGGTTTAAATCAATTTCCTAGCAAAAAATACTGTTT